AACCCTAAACCTAACCCTAAACCTAACCCTAACCTTAAAACAAACCCCTAAACCTAATCCTAACGCTTACCTTAATTGAAGTCAGCTTTCTGCCACGGCGCAGTTTTAAAGCGCCCTTCTGTTGCCGCGCTGTTGTCGTGGCAGTGATGACGCGCGGTGATGACGTCGCGGCTTTAGCGCCACGATTTGTCGTGCCACGCACTAGCAGTTAAAACTGTCCTTCAGAACAGCTGATCTTCCCCACTCATCTGCTGCTAACCTATGAGGAATCCCCAAAGCCCTGGGCACCATTGTTGCCCAAATAGGTGCACAACACTCTTTTGTTGTTAAAGATGTTGAATAATGTACTTCAAATGCATACATTCCAAGGTGACACTTAAAAGGAATTTACTTAAGACTCGGGCGATGTCGCAGATCCTGCCAAGTACTTGTGTTATAGCACTAAGTCTGAAATCCCAGCAAGAATTGTTTTCTTTTAAAGGTAAAGGTTCCCCTCGCATGCATGTGCTAGTCATTCGCAACTCTAGGGGGCAGTGCACATCTCCGTTTCAAAGCCAAAGAGCCAGCGTTGCCCGAAGACGTCTCTGGGGTCATGTGGCCGTCATGACTAAATGCCAAAGGTGCACGGAGCGCTGTTACCTTCCCACCAAAGGTGGTTCTTATTTTTCTACTTTCATTTTTACATGCTTTCAAACTGCTAGGTTAGCAGAAGCTGGGACAAGTAACGGGAGCTCACTCCATTACGTGGCACTAGGGATTTGAACCACCAAACTGCCGGCCTTTCTGATCGACAAGCTCAGCATCTTAGCCACTGATCCACTGCATCCCTTCTTTCAACTATATTTTGCTTTTTAATATTCATGTTTTTGGCAGTTTAGCATTGCTTTGAAGTTAACTTTGGAAAGCAGGAATGCTGCTGGGCTCCACAAGGTCATGCAGCTTTCAAAGGAAGATTGGAACAAATGAGAGCCAGTGCTTCAATATGAAGGGCTCTTGACCTACCCCCTCCTCAAAATTGCAAGGCTCAATGAAAAAAGGGAGGTTAGGGTAGAAACAGGGGACTAGTACCAGTACCAAGTACTACCAAGCCGAATGAAGTTAAGGAAAGACTTAGGATGCCGCTGAAGCTATCTAAATTGAAAGATTTGTTGTGGGAATTTGGGAATGCTGGAGAACATTCTGTCAGGAAAGAAAAAGCAGGGAGAACGTGTAGATAATAGTCAAGAAATGACAACATACTATCCTTGGCTTGTAATTCAAGGATGGGAAAGAGATCCGTATACTTGGGGGTGATCCTTAAAGGGATATATTAAATTCAGGGTCAAATTCTTCTCACTGGTTTTGAAAACAACACATCTTTGGTAGCACCCATCAGTTTCTCCAAATTCCAAGCATAGTCACCAACAGTGTCGTAAGGCCTCCATCAATACAATGTGGCTGTGAGACTCCTGACATAGAATGTGTAACACATACTAATTATTATTTACAAAAGAAATGGGGACAAAAAGGCATGTTTCCAGCACATTCTGAAAAAAATACTAGAGGTCTCTGTTATACCTACCCCTACACTTAAAAAACGTTAGCAAACTAAAGCTTTCTCAGTGCATACTGTATTTTTTGCATTATGTCAGGTCTCCAAGTGATGAAACCCATTCAAAGAAGAAATGTGCAAAGTCCATCTTTAGAAATAAATTTCAAATAAATGAAATGGCTACACATGTCAAATTCGGGCTTGACAATTTGATGCTCTCCCCCGCCCCCCAAAGTAGGTGAAAATTTCAATGCGTCTCATAAAGCGAATATTGAGGTGGGTAGTGGTGGTGGGAGGGGGTTGGTGCGGCACCAATCAGCTGTTCTAGAATAGGTGGTGGTGGCGGCAGTGAACACACCGCGCCACTGCCAAACTGGCCACGGCAAGTGGGTGACGCTGAACAAGCCGCTGTGGAGGCGAACGGGCCGTGCCAAAGGCAATCGGGCCAGATGAATACTAGATGGATGCTAGGAGGCCGAGGTAGAATTTTTTTTCTTGTTTTCCTCCCCGCAAAAAGCTAGGTGCATCTTATAGTCCGGAGCATCTTATATTCTGAAAAATACCATAATTACTTTTAAGGAAATCTGTCTTTCCTACATGTACACAATTTGCTTGAAAAATATGTTGACAAATTTGTGATTCAGCATACCACACAAAAACAATTAGCCGGGGCATGCTTGCACGGAGCTTCGCGTGCCTGCCAATCATGCAGAGCCACCCCTTTCCCTCCCCACCAAGCCAGAATGGTTGTGGACTGATGGTGTCCACAAGTTCTTCGTCATTAAAATATTCTGAGACGGTATCTCCTACAAAAAAAAATGAATATTGGCAGCTTTAGTTGGGGGTTTAATTAGAAAATAGTCCATTATACCCATTATTGAATGTTCATTTTATATGGTTCAAAAATAAGGTTCTGCAGATAACTTCAATGAAACACATGCAACTCAGCCCCAGAAATAAAACGAAATTTTTCTCAGAATAGCCATTTAATGATACTTTTTAAAATATATCTCAGAGGTGACAGGAGATTTCAAAAAGCATACAAGATCTGTTTGGCAATAAGTTAGTGCATGCTCATAAATAGTTGATTGTGTATATACTCTCTTCATCCAGGAACAAGATGCTCCATTTATAAACTCATTTATTCCTCAGCTTCAGACCCTTCATCATCATGACTGATCTGGAAATAACGCAGCTCGTAGGTCTCCTTGTCGGATGCTACCACACGCAACCAGTCACGAAGATTGTGCTTCTTGAGGTACTTCTTCGTGAGATATTTAAGGTACCTTTAACCATATGAAGAAAATTATTTAGGTTCAACATTTCATTTGAGAGACTACTAATTAAAAGGGGGGGGGGGAGCAGAAGACAAGGATTCTAAAAAAGTAACCTTAGCAAACATCTGATGAGTTCACTTTAATCAAGCCAAACAGGAAGGCTAAGAAACTGAATTCAACTGCAAAGTCATTTCAGATATCATCAATGCACCTCTATCATCCCCAGCAATTATCTACCTCTAATCTTGCAAGATTGTCACGGGGGTGGCTGGGAATGATTATAAGAACTGCAATGCTACCATATGTATGCAATTCCACCCTCCTCACCACCCACCTCCCAACAAAAGGACAAGACTCCAGTGGGAAGGATCTATTAACCAGTGGAACAGCTTGCCACCAGATGTTGTGGGTGCTTCGTCATTGGAGGTTTTTAAAAAGAGCTTGGAAAGCCACTTGTCTGAAATGGTATAGGACCTCCTGCTTGAGCAAGGGGCTGGACTAGAAGGCCTCCAAGGTCCCTTCCAGCTCTACTCTTCATTCTGATTCTCATCTTATGTGGAAATATGGTAAAACGGCAAGTCCAATTTTTATAGGGAATTTCCATTAAATTTGCCATCTAATGCAATATATTTTACAATGTTTAACTATTTAAAATTATTAACGGTGATGCAAGGAGCGAAAGAAAAGCTGCAATACAAAATTAAAAGAAAAACCAACCTTTTTGAGAACTGCTTTTCTGACGTTACTGTGATCTTATTTTTAAAGCGTTCAATGTGAACTACATTTCCCAGGTTTCCTGTTTTTCCATTGACTTTAATTCTCTCATTCAAGAACTGTTCCTAATTAAAAACAAAAGAACACTAGGGAATGGTGCCCTAGGTGTGGGTCTAGGGAAGGAACCCTAGCCAGGCGACATTTGTTATTACACTCACAATATAATTATTCCATACAAGCACCTCCCATGAAGCATATTAAAATTAATTCCACCAAAGAAACTTAGCAAACACAATACGTACTGTATCTATATGCAAGCTTTCTGATATTAAATTATACATCTATGCAATATATCTGGTAGCTAAGGGACTAAACTAGATGGATACATTTAATAAGAGGGAGTATTACAATTAATTACTTTTTCAGGGAAGGATTTCCCAGACAAAATTACTCTCCAAGTTTGTTTGCCTGAAATTAGAATGGAATAGAATTCTTTATTGGCCAAGTGTGATTGGAATCGCAAGGAATTTGTCTTGGTCCAAATGCTCTCAAGTGTATATAAAAAGAAAAGATAGATTCATCAAGAATCATAAGGTACAACACTTAATGATACTCATAGGCTATCAAATCATATAGGAAACAACACAAATCATAAGGATACAGGTTAATCATATAGTCATAGGTGGGAAGAGATGGGTGATAGGAACGATGAGAAGATAAATAGTAGTGCAGACTTAGTAAATAGTTTGACGGTGTTGAGGGAATTATTTGTTTAGCAGAGTGATGGCGTTGGAAAAACTGTTTTTGTGTCTAGTTGTTCTGGTATGCAGTGCTCTATAGCAGTGTTTCCCAACCTTGGCAACGGGAAGCGGTCCGGACTTCAACTCCCAGAATCCCCCAGCCAGCGAATGCTG